AACAACAAACATCACACATCATCCCCTAAGAGGGGAGGCCAAGAAAACTTATCACCCTGATATTGGAGAAAGTTCACATATCATCCATCACAGGGGAATCCATGAGCTCATTAACAGTAAGAAAATAAATGTAGTCATGCAGAAAAAAAAGACACCAAACACTGTAAAATACAAGGTCCAAAAATCAGTAATAAGACTATTACTAACAATATAAGTAGCAATAATTTCAATAGTTTTGGTAATATTAGTCAATATCATTTCATGATCAATATATCCTACCCAAGGGATTAAAAAAAATTATCCCAAGAACTTCTTCTTCTATTATTAATTACAGAATTATATAATTATATAATTGCATTCCAGGATTTATTACTCCTAATATATATTGACCATAATTTTTATGGACTTAAACACTGAAAAGCATTTAATGTAGTAATCATATCCCAATGAGTCAAATTTGATAAAGGTTCATATACTATTAAAAGAATATTAGATCTTCTACATACAAATATATATATCCAGTAGGGCACATATGGTATTAAGAACAGTAGTAATCAATAAATGTTCTACTGCCTGTCCCCATAATGAAGTATCATTACAAGAGGGGCTTACTTACTTTCAGTACAGTAGAATTAGGAAACCAGTAACTACAATTAGTTGGCACATACATGAAAACATTTGTTCTTTTAAAAAAAGCATTGAATCCTGGGTAAAATTATTACACATTATATGAGTAAAATTGGGGGAAGTATAAGTGGATATATTGCCATTTACACAAATATATGTAAAGGGGCCTACTTGGGCTTATCCTTCCATAGTAATTAATATACTTCCAAAATGTTGACTTTCATTATAGGTCTGATTATAAAATTTTTGTCCAGTATTAAAACAAGGTACATTTTTAAAAGTCTCTCATTCAGGTTGCACTTGAAATAAGGGTGTTGCATATCAGGTGGAAGGATATGATTGGGGCATTTCAGGCTGGTCCTTTACTCCTCTGCATTTTAGAGATCCATCTTGCATTTAAGGGTGAATTTGGCAGACCCAGCAGTCCCATGGTCCGTTATCTGCCACTGCTTGTCCAGGAATCAATGTCACAAAGAATAGTATTATTTCTATGAAGCAACACTATGCATGGAAAAACAACTGGGAAAATGATACATTTTATCATCTCCTGGAAAAGCCACTATGACTGCATTATTATCTCCTTCAGCAATAATCTCTGCAGCTTTGGGGATGTCAGTAGGGTGTCATATAACCCATATTTTAGCTCCTTTTACCAAATCAGTACTTTCAAATGCACCATGTCTAGTAGTAGGTCGCCAGAAATTTGGCCATGTGGGAAAGTCCACGGTTTTTCCTTGCTGTGGCCCAGATCCCAAACCCATCATTCCTCCTCCCTCAAACAAATGGGACCCAAATTCTTTTGGAATAAGGGGCGAAGTTCTCGGCTTCTGAAACTGCTTCCTGCTGACAAGGGGCATAGAGCTGTCCCTGCCTCAATGGGGTCCCAAAGAGGAGACTGACTGGAATTGAGCACAGGCTGTATCCAGGGAACAATGTGGGGACATTGGCTGGTATTTGCTGTTTGCTACCAACTGTAGGTGAATGGCCTATAGTCTGGAGGACATAAATCTGACAGAAAAAACTGCAGGGCCCAACTTTGAGAGGATAAAACATCCTTAGCTATGTTTGGATTCAGATAATTCAGTTCTCCAACCATGCAGTATCAAATCCACCTCATAGCCAGATTCAGGAATAGCCAGGTGGGTAACATTCCCTTTCAAAGGAACGTAATGGGGAAACTGAGCCAGGAGGCTCCCATCTTAGACTTAGGCTAAAATTGTTCTCTCAGTTTTTCCCCACACTGACTTCCCACCAGTATCACATTCTCTGAGTAGTTTGTGCCATTTCTCTCAGATGGTGGATTATTGATTATTGATGGATTATGACCCATCAGACAACTCCAAATAAAATGCGATGAGCTTTTACCTCAAACAGCAAGTTTTACTAATCACAGCTTAGGAAAATCTTTTCCAAGATTTATATCTCAAACTTAAATTTGTCCTAATGTGAAAAGCCAATCATTAGAGATTTCTATACACTTGTAAATTTTCAATAAGCCATACATAACCCAAACAAGCTTTTTGGCTAGTTTACGCATTAAAACAATAACCAACAATAGCTAAATTATTTTAGCAGTAACTACTGGCTAGATTATAAGAATCTAAACTTGGACAATTCTTAAATCCATAGAACATACCACAGCTTCTGGCCCCAAATTTTGCATAAAGATGTTAATTTCTCCAACACAGAGTCAATAACTCCTCCAAGAATATATATACCTTTAAATGCTAAACTAGAATGAGGTAAAATATGGCCAAAATATCCAGAAGGGATTTGTATACCAATTCCTGTAGCAACTGTAACTATTTTACCTACAGGCAAATGTAAGGGCATTGGAGTGTGTAAGTCATATCAGGCAGAGCCTGCAGTTCCGAGGAATGGTGCATGAGAATGTGGATTTATAATCCACCACTTTAAAATGTCTATCGGCCTCTGGGCCCTAATTTGTAAATTAGGTGTCATCATTTGATTTAGAGGAGTTAATCCTTCTTTTAGGGGTCTATTATTTAATTGCTTCAAGGCTCCAAACAAATTATAAAGGTACAATATGAATTTGTTTCTTTTCCTTTAAAAATGGGTTCCATTATCACTTTAAATTTGGGTAGGGGTGCCATAATATAATTCAATAATATCTAAAGTCCGTTTGGTATTTTTCTGAGTTGCATTTTTATGCAGACATGCCACCAAAACTCCAGAATATGTATCTACACATGTACAAATATCCCTGACAGGCCACGTTCTCTTACTGCCTGTTGCACAAACGAATTAGTACTGATCCCTACAAACTTGAGACAATCGTTGTTATCTACCCAAATTCCCCCAGCTCCTGCATCACTGATCCTAACCATCCATGAGATCAAAGGCTCACCAAGCTTCTGAGTGAATCTATTCAGAATATCAGTTATTTCTTGGTGAGTAAAATCCTCAGTGTTAGTGTTAAACACTTTATTTCCTCCCTGATCTACCTCCTTCCTACAAGTGATTGGTCTGACTTCTGTACTCACATCAGGATATTTTTGTTCACGTTCCTCCCAAGGTTTATTATCTAAGGACTCCTCCTCTTCCCCCTCAGGTTCGTCCCAGATGCCTCCGTCCCATCCATCTGAGTCCCAGTCAGCTGTTGTGGTTGCAAGTACTGCACACACCTTTTTCTTATTTTCGCTTTTCTTTTACGATATTTATACTGCACAACTCGAATGGCAGCCTTTTCTGCTACTCCCTGATAATTCCTTACTTGATTTCCCAAAATAAAGTTCTGGCACTGGAGCACAGATAGCTTGCTTTGTAATTCTGCTAGCTCCTTCTCATAAGCAACTTTTTCTTCCATAACTCTGTCTCTATTCTGTATTGTTTCTGAACACTGTACCCCAGCTAATGGCTCCCCTTGGCTGAGTTGACTTTCCCATTCATCACAAGGTCTGGCACTTTTTACACATTCTTTAGCTAATGAGAAATGCGGGGGATTTTCCCAACCTGGTACGTAAGTTTCCCCATCTGCATTTTCCCTACCTTTCCTAAGAAACGGCATTATACCTCAAGATGCTGTTCATGACGCCAAATGTAATCAAAAGGATTATATACTGCACAGATTCAATTTAGGTTCAAATCTCAAGATATAATGACATGTACTCAGGATAAACTTAACAAATAATCACATTTATTTGCAACGATTAATAGCGATTAAAAACCAACACAAGCAATAAAGGTAAGAATAATATTCAATGCAATAAATAATAATCAACATAAAGGAAAGTAGGAATAAGAAAAGAAAGGATACATACTCACTGACCCCGGGGAGACTGGAGAATGGCCAAAAGGTCTGGTCAGGGAGGCAACAGGAGCATCCTATCCCGGGACACAACGAAAGCCGTCGACACAATCTGCTTCTGGCAGAGATTCGGCGTCCCTATCTCTGCAGTCAAAATCTCCAAAATCTCCCTTTCCAATGACCCTTTTTATGTCCATGTAAACCAGGGAAAAACAATCTTGATATTTTGTTTTGTGTATGTCTCCTTGGTGAGTACTCAGATCCAGGGTATGGGTGCATACACATTCTAACAATGGTTGGAGCTTGATCAGAGCTCCAACTACCTGTTTATTGTGTAATTGTCCAAGGAGTGATCAATTCCTTGGACAATTACAAGCTTTTCTCAAGAAAAATGTTCCTTGAGATAAACTGGTTTCCCAGGTAACATTGTTTAGTTGTTACTTAATGTTCCAGTCTCCTTGATCCTGGCCATGCTTTGATGACTCCATTTCATCTTTATGTTAGGTCATGAGGCAATTACACCATTAGGTCATAAGACAGTTACACAGGGGACTGGGGAGGATCTATCCTCCTCAGTTTCCCTTACCCAAACACAACCAGATGTGATAAACATAAAATAGCATCCAAATGACTGATAAAAAGGCTGAACATAAGAGAGCTGAGACTAGATCCTCTACTAGACTCCTTCCAAGTTCAAAGGTCACTGCGAATGACCTAGGTGAGAATGGGAGTGTCCTATGCAATAAACTCTCAACAAAAGGCAGATTAGAGAAAGACAGGTAACCAGGGTGGCAGTTAGAAATAGGAAGTGTAAATTTAGACAAACTCTTCCCTCTCTGTCCTGAAGAAAGCAGTTGGCTGCTTTAATTTAATCTTCCTCTTTCATTTTCAAGAACCATTACCTGATTATAAATACTTCTCCCAGCACTGTTTCAAAACAGAAAATAAACCTAGGAATATGTGTAAAGGGAGGTTTTTAAGCCTCTTCATACTTTATACAAAAGAAAAATTGTACTGAAATAAAAAAAAAAAGAAAATATCTATTTGGAAACAAGTCACATTTATAGATTACCAACCAGACTGAAATAAATTACTTAGCAAATAATACAAAGAAAAATAATTGCCACATTTAATTACAGTTCTTTGAAGAAAATGATATCTTTTATTAATCCTCAACAAATTTCTTCAGAAGTCCATGCTATTCACCTCAAGGAAATTACAGGGTTTCAGGTTGAGTTTGCATCTTTTTCTTCTAGTTCATCATCTACAACCTAAACACAAAATAAAATGAATTAAAGATTTCAGAAAATAAGTTTCAAATTGCTATTATACTGTTTTGAACATTATATATTCATTCAGGAGAAACTACTTTCCTGGATATGGCTCTACAAATAACCTTTTCTGAGAGAATATAATCTCTAGCAATCCATAAATGCAAGAAAATTCCATTAAAATATTTAAGTGGCCTTTAATACATATCTGACTTTAGGTTCAAAATTAACATGTTATATACTGTTATCTATGGGAAGAAGTTAAATCAAATATTTATATTTAAATACCAAACCAGAAGTTCAGTCAACCTCCCTGGCTCAGAAAAGGTTGTATCAGTCACATGGGCATAAGATGACATGATTCCATTGGCCAGAAAAATGTTGTGGGGCTTTTATTCCTACTGACACCAGGCAGGCCCCTTTACTTCTTACTGTCTCAGCTCTCTCATCTGTAAAGTAGGGATAAACCTAAAAGTGCCCCTATGTTATTAGTGGTAGTGGTGGTGGTGGTGGTAGTAGTAGTGGTAGCATTTACCATTTTTTTTAATTTAATTTTTTTTTTCTGCGAGGAAATTGGGGTTAAGTGACTTGCCCAGAGTCACACAGCTAGTAACTATTATGTGTCTGAGGCCAGATTTGAACTTAGGTCCTCTTGTTTCCAAGGCCGGTGCTCTATCCACTGCGCCACCTAGCTGCCCCATTTACCATTTATTTTAAAAAATATTTAAAAATGCATTTTGAATACATGATTGCAAGCCAAAACACTACGGAAATTTTGCTGTGATGGCTGTACTCGATACTTTTCTTAACTATTTTTCTCTGTCATAAGAGGTTAATCTGGGGAATGGAGGAGGAGGTTGTAAATATGAGGTAAAGACAAAAGGTATTTATTGTAAAAACCCAAATCTCATTGCTCCCACCTGAAGAAGGGATAGTGAAAGTGCCTAGAGCTGTAATTTCACTGGTCCAAGCAATTTCCAGGGAAGGAAACTCCCTCTAACCAGTTCATGGAGAGACCTTATTTGCAGTTTAGAAAATCATTATATTGTTCTCTACAGACACAGAGAGGTGAAGTTGAAGGGGTAGGGGCCCTGGGCCCTTCCCTCTGTGAACTTTCCCATGAATTCCAGGAACCCAGCCCCAGAACTCAGATCCCTGATGTCTGCCTGAAGCATTGCCAAATAATCCTTTTAATTGTCTTTTCCTAGTGGCTCAGATCTTCAATTCTGTGTTACCTCTAACCTAGTCCAGCCCTCATGGTCTGCACCTGGCCCTATCCTAGACCACCATTCCTTGATTCCATCTAGACCCACTCCTTGACCACTGTATATAAATGTCCATCTTGCCCCCATTAAATTGCTCAGATTCTTAAAATCTGGCCAATAGCGGAGACTCACTAGGAATCTCGCACACTCCAACTGAAGTTTTAATAAACCTTGTCTCTGACTGAAAGAAGGCTCGAGTGGAATTCTTTCAAAGCAGACCCACATCTTTTACCCTTGAATTTCAGGGTTCCCAGCAATCCTAGATTGCAACAAAGTAACTTCCCCAAGAGTCACAAAGCCAGTATGTCAGGGGCTGACCTGGAACCCAGATCTTCCCAGATGTTGGGTCAGCTTCCTATCCACTTTGCTACTTCTCTGTCCTATCATGAATTTAAGAAACCAAAACCAATAATCCAAACAAATCCTGAATTCCCAAACTATTTATAAGAATTTAAGTAACAGCAATATACATAATTGTTGCTTTTTCTTCCAAAGAAAAAAATTCATTTTAAACCTAAGAAAATGACAAAAACTGTTTCCAAGAAAGTTAAGGAAAATAATTAGGAATTCTGACTGGGGGGAGGAGCAGGAGGAGTAGGAGCAGCCCAGAGACAGTTACAAAGTACTTTGTTCCCAACAACCCTGAGACTTGGGTAGCTTGTTACAATCACTCCATCTCATAGCTAAATAAACTGTTGCCCCAAAGAGGTGACTTGTCCAGAGCTAGAAAGTGGCAGAGCTGAGACCCAAGCCCAGGTCTATGACAAATCCAGGCCTCTTTCCAATACACCATACTGCCTTCCCTAAAAGGGAAAGGACTTATAGACTTTTTGGTCCGTGTTGCACAAGCTGATGAATAATTCAGTAAATTATTTTCTTTGGAAAGGAAAAGAGGTCACATAAACAAAGAACTTCCTCCTTTTCACTAAGTCTATTGCAATTAAAGTGCCAATTCAAGTTTCTAACTTGAAATACCATATAACAACCCCGCCCAGGTCAGTGAATACAAATATTTCCTTGTTAATTCATCAAGTGGCTCTTGATACTCTATATGAAATAATGACCACACATTGTGTGTGGTTTGTCCTTTGTTCTTTAAGAGGACCATGACATCAGGGAGATGATGACATGACTTGCAACTGACTTTGATTTGAGTAAAGGAGGGCTGTGCAAAGTTACCAGCCTCACTTCCTCCTCCAGAGTCATCAGCAGCCAGTGGCCAGATATTGATCAGGAAGACCAGAGATGGCCCAGGATGCAGTAGGAGAGCTTGGCCCTTTAAACTAATGTCTTTTCATATTCTCACTTTGAGTGAGGCAAGGCCCATTCAGTGAAAAGGCCTCTTTTAAGAGATGGCCCCTATAATAATCATCATCATCATCATCATCATCATCATCATCATCAACCTGGGAGGGGAAGACCCTCAGAGTTGTTAGCCAAAAGAAAAATAGTTACTATTTACATTCACTCAGAGCCTGGAGGACCCCAGAAATAACCATTAAGTGGAGCTCAGGCACGGACCTATTGTCTAATCCATGAGATCCAGACTGAGTTGGGTTTCAGGTTTGGTCTTTGAGAAAGAAATCTAGCCAGTAAACTCAAAGTTAAACAGATAACTTCTGGCCATCAAAATTTACCTTCCTTTGGGCAGAACATCCTTAGGAAAGGGGAGGGGAAGAGAGAACAAACTGAGTTCCAACTGGAACTGGCCAGCTGGGTCCCCATTCAGGCAGCTCACATGACTCACAGGTTGTGTTTGTCCTTCTTTCTTGAAGAGAACCATGACATCAGGGAGATGATGACATGAATTGCAAGCGACTTTGATTTGAGTAAGGGAGGGCTGTGCAAAGTCATCAGCCTCACTTTCTCCTCCAGAGCTATCTGTGTCCAGTGGATTGATTTTTCCAATGACATTTATAACTAGAAAAACTGAACCATGTATAACTGATCAACTTTCTTGTTTTCCCCCTAAACCTTCCTTTTGGGCATGCTCAAGAATTTTGGACTGTGTACATTGATCCAGGCTGGGATTCTTCAAGCTATTTTTTTTTTTTTTGCTTTTTGGTGAGGCAATTGGGGTTAAGTGACTTGCCCAGGGTCATACAGCTACTAAGTGTCAAGTAACTGAGGTCAGATTTGAACTCAGGTCCTCCTGACTCCAAGGCTGTAGCTCTATCCACTGGGCCACCTAACTGCCCCCTCAGGCTACTTTTAAAACTCAGGAGACTATTCTAGAAAAACAATTTATCAAAGATCCCAAATAAGTAGCTACGTATTTTATTCCTAATAATTGCCAAAGAAGTAACTCAATTTTCCTCTCTAATCTAGTCTAGTGTGTTATGACCATCAGGACTGATGGATGACCTTCCTTCTTTCAGCTTTAAAAAGAACAGGCTGTATTTTAAACCATGTGTTATAAAATGTTGAACTAAAAACAGACCACAGAATTAACAACTGGGAAGATTAAGATATTCAAATGAACCACAGTCAAGTGATTTTTTTTCTAAAATATACATTACAATATAATAGTGGTTTGCTACTAATCTAAAATTTAGCTCATTAGCCTCTTTCTTTCTAAAGTTAACACTTCTCACTCCTTACATAGCCACCACTCAAGTTGAAGTTATCCCCTGAACTACTATAACAGCCTCCTACTTGATTTCCCTAGTTAAGGCTCTGCCCATTCCAATTTATCTTCCACACAGTTCCCAAAGAGATTTTCCTTAAGCACAATCTGTTTCTGTCACTCCACTATTCCATACACTCCAGTGTTATTACCTTGTTATTACTTCCCTATTACCTTCAGGAAAAAATATAAACTCCTGTATTGTTACTTAAAGCTTCTACATAATTTTTCCCTGATCTGCCTATCTTTCTAGCCTCATTTTACCCCTTTCTCACAATTTAAGGATCAGCCACAATGGCCTTCAAATTGTTCTTCGTAAATGACATTTAACCTGCCATCTCAGTGTCTTTCCATTTGATGTCCTCCACACCTGGAATGCCCTCTTTCCTTTTCTCTGCCTTTTAGAATACCTTATTTCCTACAAGACTCATCTGAAGTATTACCTTCTATGTAAAGCTTTCTTGATCCCCCAGCTGCTAGAGCTCCCTCTAAATTTACCTGTATTTATTTTGCATGTATTCTATAAATATATACACATGCATACACACATAAATATACATAGGTATTTATATATGCATACCATATATGTGTGTTCACGTTGTCTCCCCAGATAACATGTAAACCCTCTGAGGGTGGGGACTTTCATTTCTGTCTTTATGTTCCCTGTACCTATGCAAGCTGCCTGCTATGAGGCAAGCTCTCAACAAATGCTCCCTGATGAAATGGTAATACATCCAAGTGGCAGGATTGTCTTGGCCTACCTGCTCCACACCTTCTACTTCTGGAATATAGAACTGTAGCATGTTTTGGATTCCATTTTTCAGAGTAATGATAGAGCTGGGGCAGCTGGTACAGGAACCCTGCAGTTTCAGCTGCACGATGCCATCTTCAAAGCCTTTGTAGATCACATCACCCCCATCCTCCTGCACAGTTGGCCTTTGGTCAGAAAATATTGAAAGGAAACATATTCAGAGAGAAAATAAAAAGACTCAATAAGATTTAGGTACGTGCTAGCTTTAAACCAGTAAAATAAAGAAAGCTAAAGCTGGAGAATAAGTGATCATTTTTTTTTCAAGTAAATGACATGAGTTTTTTTGCCAGAAGTTACTTTTATACCTCTAATTTTCACTTAACCAAATTTTCCTTTTCAGCTTAAAAATGCTTCTAAAATACTTTGGATCTCACCATCTCATGAAATTGTACCAACCCAACCTTCAGAATCTTGGAATTCAACTCCCAGCATCACAGCTTCTTATTATATTACCTCACTCACTCCCTCATTCATACTTACTCTAATTTTCATCTTTATTGTGACTTCTAGTCCTGTAACCCCTACCTCCTTATCCTCCCAAGCTTTCTTCCCCAATCTGGTTTTACTTGTTACCATATTTAGTTCTGTGGAACAGAGATTAGATATATTTTAACTTGCCCCCAGAAGGCAAAAATAGAAGCAGGTAGAAGTTACAGAGAAGCAGATTTTAGTTCTAAATTTTCTTTTTAAAAATTTTTTAAATTTATTTTAATTAATTTATTTTTAGTTTTCAACATTTACTTCCACAAGATTCTGAGTTCCACATTTTCTCCCCATCTCTCTCTTCCCCCCACCCCAATACCATGTGCATTCTGATTACTCCTTCCCCCAATTTGTCCTCCCATCTATCACTCCCCAACCCATTCTCTTATCCCCTTCAACTTCTATTTTCCTGTAGGGCAAGACAGATTTCTATACCCCATTGCCTGTATATCTTATTTCCCAGTTGCATGTAAAAACAATTTTTAACATTCGTTTTTAAAACTTTGAGCTCCAAATTCTCTCCCTTCCTCCCCCCCCATTGAGAAGGCAAGCAACTCAATATAGGTTATACATGTGTAGTCATGCAAAACACTTCCCTAATAGTCATGTTGTGAAAGACTAACTATATTTCCATCCATCCTATCCCACCCTCTGTTTATTCTATTCTCTCCTTTGACCTTGTCCTTCCTCAAAAGTGTTTGCTTCTGATTACCCCCTCCCTCAATCTGCCCTCTCTTCTATCATACCCCTTCTTTTATCCCCTTCCCCTCTAACCTCCTGTAGGGTAAGATAGATTTCCATACCCAATTGAGTGTGTATGTTATTCCCTCCTTAAGCCAAATTCAATGAGAGTAAGATTCACTTATGCCCTCTCACCTCCCCCATCTTCCCCTCCACTATAAAAACTTTTTCTTGCCTCTTTCATATAAGATAATTTACCCCATTCTACCTCTCCCTTTCTCCTTCTCCCAGTACAATCCTCTCTCACCCCGTAGTTTTATTTTTTAGATATCATCCCTTCATATTCAACTTACCCTCTGTCTATATTATTATTATTCCCTCCAACTACCCTAATATTGAGAAAGGTCTCATGAGTTACACATATCATCTTTCCATGTAGGAATGTAAACAGTTCAACTTTAATAAGTACCTTATGATTTCTCTTTCCTGTTTACCTTTTCATGCTTTTCTTGAGTATTGTATTTGAAAGTCAAATTTTGTATTCAGCTCTGGTCTTTTCATCAAGAATGCTTGAAAGTCCTCTATCTCATTGGCCCCTGAAGTATTATGCTCAGTTTTGCTGGGTGAGTCTTGGTTTTAATCCTAGCCCCTTTCACCTCCAGAATATCATATTCCAAGACCTCTGATCCCTTAATGTAGAAGCTGCTAAAGCTTGTGTTATCCTGATTGTGTTTCCACAATATTTGAATTGTTTCTTTTTGGCTGCTTGCAATATTTTCTCCTTGACCTAGGAACTCTGGATTTTGGCTATAATAATCCTAGGAATTTTCCTTCTGGGATCTCTTTCAGGAGGTGATTGGTGGATTCTTTCCATTTCTATTTTACTTTCTGGTTCTAGAATATTAGGGCAATCTTCCTTGATAATTTCTTGAAAGATAATGATGATGTCTAGACTCTGATTTCAAATAGTCCAATAATTTTTAAATTATCTCTTCTGGATCTATTTTCCAGGTCAGTTGTTTTTCCAATGAGATATTTCACATTGTCTTCTATTTTTTTCATTCTTCTGGTTTTGTTTTATAATTTCTTGATTTCTCATAGAGTCATTAACTTCCATTTGCTTCATTCTAATTTTTAGGGGACTTATTTTCTTCAGTGAGCTTTCAGACCTCCTCTTCCATTTGGCCAATTCTGCTTTTTAAGGCATTCTTCTCATTGGCTTTTTGGATCTCTTTTGCCATTTGGTCTAGTCTATTTTTTAAGGTGTTATTTTCTTCAGTATTTTTTTGGGTCTCCTTTAGCAAGCTGTTGCCTTGTTTTTCATGATTTTCTTGCATCACTCTCACTTCTCTTCCCAATTTTTCCTCTACTTCTCCTACTTGGTTTTCAAAATCCTTTTTGAGCTTTTCCATGGCCTAAGACCAATTCATATTTTTCTTGGAGGCTTTGGACGTAGGAGTTTTGACTTTGTTGTCTTCTATTTCTGTTTTGATCTTTTTTTGTCACCAAAGTAAGATTCTATTATAGTCTGAGTTTTTTCCACTGTTTGCTCATGTTCCCAGCCAATTACTTGACTTTTTAATTCTTTGTTAGGTAGGGCTCTGCTTCCAGTGTGGACATGTACTGGCCCAAGCTTCAGGGGTTTTGTGCAGCTGTTTTCAGAGATATTTCTAGGGATCTGTAAATTTTCAGTTCTTCCAAGGTGGTATGATCAAAGGAGAGGTGTTTACTCCTTTCCTGGCCTATGCTCTGGTCTATGAGTGACCACAAGTACTCTTTTCTGCCTTGGAACGGTGAGGAAGATTTCCTCTCTACTGCTGCCACAAGCTCCACCACATCAGCGCTCCTCCTTGCCCCAGGATTGCAACCCAGATCCAAGCATGGGCAAAGCAAGAGAATCTTGCCTCAGTGCCAGCAAAGAGATCCCTGCAATCCCCCTCTGATCAGCCACTCAATCATCCCATTGTTTGTGGGCTGACAGCTCCATAAGCAGCTGACAGCTCCATAAGCAGCTGCCACCATTGCCCTGGGGCTGCACCCGGGCTGGGGCCAGTTGCTCCTCTCTCACTCAGGTCCAACAGACCTTTCCTACTGACTTTCTCAGTTGTCTTTGGTGTTTGTGGGTTGAGAAGTCTGGAAACCACAGCTGCCAGTGATTCAGTCTTGAGGCCTGCTCTGGGTTTACTGGGGCCAAATTTGTGCTGGCACATTTTGCACTGAACCATGCTCCTCTCTCAGACTGGTGCAACAGACCTTTCCTTTTGACCTTCTAGGTTGTCTTGGGCTGGAAATTTGTTTCACTCTGTCATTTTGGGGGTTCTGCTGCTCTAGAATTTGTTTAGAGTCATTTTATTTGGAGAGGTTTAGAGTAGTTCTAAATTTTCTATCTCTTCTTGCATGTGACACAGTACTCTGGATATAATTAGAGTTGTCCAAAGTGGAATGGACTGTCCCAGTATTGCAGTGAGCTCTCCATCCTTAATTATCTTTAACAGATTAAACTAGATGATCTAAACAAATTCTTTACAACTGAGATTCTAAGATTGATCTCATGGTCAGTCATATTAATGATTTCTAAGCCACAACTTTTAAATCCTTCATCTTTAGATTTTTCATTGGTGCTGATTTGCTAATCCTCAACCCTGGCTAACCCTCCGCCATTCCAATTCTTTGTTCCTGACTTGAGCTTCTGAGAAAGAAAAAAATATTGAGTTGATTTTACTCCTTATAAAAATTTATGATGTGTAACTGCAGCTGGGCCCTCATTGTTGCTAGTCATTCTATTTTACTTTTATTAGCTCCCTATCTCATTACCTATAGTTACTATTCTGAACCTTTTCCTCTCTCAAGACCAAGATCACAACTCTATCTCTCATACTTACAGACTAATAATAACACTGATAACAACTGATAATTGCATAGCGCTTTAGGACCATAGATTTAAAGCTGGAAGGGACCTTAGAGGTCATCTCTAGTCCAACCTTTTGTTTATACAGATGAAGAAACTGAAACCCATAGAGACTGACTGACTTGCTAGGGGTAATGTAGCTAATTAGTGTCTCAAGTTGGATTTGAACCTGGGACTTTCTGACTCTACATCCAGTACTCTATCAGGCTACCTCACAACTGATCTTCAATGAGAAGTCTGAGGCCACGTGACTATGAGCCCTAATTCCTCTCTTTTACCCCTAAGTATCATCACTCATTTTCTCCTTTTTCAGAGGAAGAGATCTCTTTAGTCACTCTTTGCTAAGGCTAATTCTACTCCCTGTGTTTTTGATCCCATTCCCAAATTCTTCCTCTAGTGAGTCTTGTTCTGTCAATCATTTTCTTTCTCATATATCTTCAACCCGATCCTTTGTGCTGGCTCCTTCCCTTCTACCTACAAACAAGGTTACATATACTCAATTAAAAAGAAAAAAAGCCTTAACTTGTTTTTTCTATACTATCCTCTATTTCTCTTCTCCTCACAGTCAAATTTCTTGAAAAACAAGACTGTACATACCACTCACTCACTGCCCAGCTCCTAACCATTTGGGTTCTTTCCCCACCACTCTGCTGAACCTGAAATTCTTCAAAATGCACCAATGGTCTCCTAAATCACTAAATCCAATGGCCCTTATTCATCCTCACTGACCTCTCTACAGAAAACTGACATTTGAATTACCCATCTCTTCTGGGCACTCTTTCCTCCCTCGGCTTCAGATACACCACATTTTCCTGGTTCTACACCAACCTTGTTAACTGTTCCTCTATCTCCTTCACAGGTTTCTTATGTTCCCACCAAACCTGTTAAGGTACAGTAGTTGGATATTCCAGAAGATGATGTCACTAGCCATAATCTTTTCTCTCTCTATGCTATGTTCTTTGGCAATTTCATCTATTCCTATGGTGTCAACTATTCTCTCTATACAGAAGACTCTCAGTTCCCTTCTTAGCTCTAGATCTGCATCTTCAAATGCCTTCAAACCATCTCCACCTGGACTTCTAACCAGCACCTCAAACTCAACAAGTTCCAAAACAAGCTCATTATCTTCCCTCAAAAACCTGATTTGTTTTGGACTCCCTATATAGATGTATAGTGTCTCCACCTCATTTTCCCTCTATTTTAAGAGAAATGAGTAGAATACAACACTCTTGCTGGAATGACTGGGAATTTATTTATAGACCCAGCAATTTAACAATTGTTTCAAGATCTACTGGATGCTAAGTAGTGAGGGTGATTTAAAAAAAAAAAAGATAAAAATGGCTCCTGCCTTTAGGGAATCTTCTAGTCAGGGCAATAAATCATATACACAATGACTACAGGGCAAAATCAATTAATAATTACCATAACAGGTACAAAAAAATGTTATGAGAATTTTTGTTGGAGAGATGACTTCCATGTTGAGGGATTCATGTTGAAGATCTAATAGAGAAGAATGACATTTGAGTATGTCTTTGAAAGATAGAAGAATTTTAATAGTGACGGGCAAGCTTCATAGAGTTTTGTCTCCCTGGGATAGGGAGTAAGAATGAAAGAGGAATATGCAAGGATAGACTTAGAAAACAGTAAATATGTCTAGTTTGGATAAAGCACAGACTGTGTGAAGGGGAGTGGTGGGAGATAAAGTTGGAAAGGAAGATGGAAGGTCAGTTGTAGAAGGTCTTGAATGCAAAGCTTTAAAGAATGTAATCAGTAGCAGTGAAGAACAATGTTAAGTTTTGGAAAAGTAGAATGAATGATCAGAGTTGGGCATCAGGACAGATTAGAGGGGGAAAGACTAGTTAGGGAGACAGAGCTTAGCATGTTGCTGTGTAAAAAGCAATAAATTCAGAATCAGAAGGCCTAGAATTATCATTATCATTTAGTATTGTGCCCTTAGGCAGAGCACTTAACTCTATGAGGTTCAGTTTACTTATTTATAAAACACAGATATGGAGCAGCTAGGTGGCACAGTGGATAGGTGGCACAGTGGATAGATGGTACAATGGATAGAGCATCCTGGCCTGGAGTCGGGAAAACTCATCTTCCAGTTCAAATCTGGTCTCAGACATTTACTAGCTGTGTGACCCTGGGCAAGTCACTTAACTCTGTTTGCCTCAGTTTCTTAGCTGTATCATAAGCTGGAGAAGGAAATGGCAAACCACTCCAGTATCTTTGCCAAGAAAACTCCAAATGGTGTCACAATGAGGTGGACAACTGAACAACAATAATAAAGATCCTAATGACAGACAGACTGCTACTCAAGGACAAGCATAGATTGTACACAAGGTGATGAATTTTTGGTCTCTAGTAATTAAAAAAACTAAGAAAAATACAGTCCCAATTCTGAGCATCCCCACTTTCCACTTCAGCAATGATGGTTGCAGGGTCAGGAAAGAGGTCTGTGAGTAATAAGCATAATAGTTTTTAGACTGTCTATACGCATTAATTCAACTGTCAGTTCTCTAAATGTGAGATCTTTGTCCAGTGAACAATGAGTTGATAAAGAAGGATGGCTCACAGGTTCTCTGATCAGAGGCAAATGAAGGAATTAGTTTTCGTGAATCCAAAAGCAACAGGAAACATCATTTTATGGGATACTTGGTTATCTTATACTGTAGTAGCTTCCTCATGACGAACATAGCAAAAAATAATCACCACAAACATAACTGCATTTTATACACCAATATCTGATGAAAAGCTAAAGAAATTCTACAAAGAATTTAACACTCTTCAAAACAAATAAATGTGGACACTGACTCCAAGTTTATTATTCTTTCCCCAACACAATCACAATCTTCTCAATTATATGAAGCCAAGCAAAGAATGTACAAATACTTTCAGGTTCACGTCCCTCAAAAAACTCAAACCAAAGAATAAATCTCCTAAACATGCAAACACATAGTTTAAAACTTTTTATATACTTTCTCTGTATATTAAAAAGCTTTAAACAAATCACAGAGTTTGAAGAGTGCTTTGAGACTATCGACAATTAAATAATATAGGAGTAAAATGGAGCCATTTTCATTAATTCTCAATGGCCAGGAGGGAAAACTTATTTCTGGAATACTCTCTCCCCCCAACTCTATCTTTTAAAATCCTGTCCAACTTTCAAGGCTAAATTCAAACACCACTTTTTCCTTAAAGCTTTCACTGACTCCTAATTGGAAATAATCTTCCCTTTCTCTAGTCACCCACAATGAAAAAGTGTTATATTTGACTATTTACTTTCTGTTACCTCCTACATCCAATCAGTTATCAAGACAGGTTGATTCTGCCTTTGCAACACTGCTCCTATTCACCTCTCTTTTTTATTTCTACTGCCATCACCCTAGTTCTGGCCCTCCTAACCACCTACCTGAACAAGATGGTATCACAATAGGCCTTCTTTGCAACTCTACTTTCTCCCCTCTTCCCATCTAGCCTTCCCAAAGTGACAGACATATTCCTCATTAAAAACACTTGATCAAGTCACTCTTCTGACCAAAACTCTTTAATCTTGTACTGACTGCCAAAAATATCCAAGGTCCTTGACTAATACTGAAAACACGACAATATAGCATCACCCTACCTACCCTGGAATAATGGAAAGAGTGTTGGGCTTAATTAAGAGTCTGGCTGACCTGGGTTTCAATGGGGCCAATCACTTAATCTTTCTAAGTCTTAGTTTCCTCACTTGTAAAATGGGGATGATGCTGACAGAGACTGCCTCACAGGGTGTTATCATTACCATTCCAGCATCATCTCGTGCCATTTACTACATGCTGTACTACCAGCCATTCCCCATACATGCCCTTTGAATTCCTGGCTCCATACCTTTGCTCATATTGTTCCCTATGCTCAGAAAGAAGTCCTAGCTTTCCTTTCATGGTACTCTGAGCTCACTCCCCTCAACTTGTTCTTTTACTCACAGAATAAGGTCCTTGAGATGGGCAACTACTTTCTTAGGTTCCAGAAGTGACCCTTGTAGACACACTCCTAACACCATAGTTGTTGAGCCCCCTCTGGTATGCTTCCCATTAACAGTTTTCTAGTAGATCCAATTAACTTAATAAAAGTATTTATTTAAATGATACAGAAGAATAATAATAACAAAACGTTATTCCTATATACCCAGGGCTCACATTTCCACCAATATACACAGTGTCCATGAGGAGAGTAGGCTAGACTCAAAATCCCATGAGGGCAGAGACCAATTATTTGAATATTTTCCCCAATGTACAGGACAGCACTTTACCCAGAAAAGATACTTAAATGGTTGCTGAATAAGTGAATGAATAAATCTTCCATGGGATATGTGAATCAATGCCTACTTGAGTTTAGATGAAGTTTTGATGCAAATGCAGAATTCAGGCTTACTTCAAGGATCTGTGGGTAAAAGAATTCCCTCAACAGACTCAGATTGCAGCTACACTATGACTTCACAGAACGTCATTAACAGCGCCACTGGTCAAAAGCCCCACCCACTTTCCCTTTCCTCAGCCTTTTGCAGGTACCTAAGCTGGTGTCCAGACAAAAGATACAGTCTGTCCCTGGGAAGCCTTTCAAGTTGAATCTCCCAGAGTTTATACTCCAAGAGGATGGCCTTCAAGAACTCAGGGCTACCCTCTGAAGCCTGAAGGGTAACCAAAGAAGGACTGTAGGAGAGGTACTTATGGCTGTGTTTCTTTAGATATCTAGTATGTTCCCCACTTCCTGTCTCTTTGCTAAGCCTCTGTAAATCTCTAACAGTTTTCCACAGCTTAACTCTAAAGGTTGTTCTTTCAAAAAAGTATTGGACAAAGGACATATAACCATGGCATTAAATTTTTATGTCCCTATATGATACAATTTGACATATATTCCTCAAAAATATAATTTTGACTGTTTTATCTTGTAAATTAGTTTTGAGTAAGAACAGAAGTAGAATTTAAGTGCTTATACACTTATGAATTAAATATTTTATACAAATTAATTTGCACATTTTCTCATAACTAAAAATCTTTTAAACTTAAAATGTATTAAATTATTATTATAATTAAATATATTTATTATTAAATTTATTAAATCATTAAAATTATTAAAATCATTCCCGTGGTGATACCTTATCCTTGTATCCAACAATTCTTTAATCATTGCTACAACTTCGTCATCCTCTTCAGTTGCTAGAAACAAGCACAAATCAAAGTATTAATAGCAGCAATATGATAGAATATTTTTAAAGATTTAGGAGTAAAAAAAGGAAGATTTTCACTTTATAGCTAAGTCACACTGAGGGACAAGTCAGATAACTTAGTATAGTTGTATCTTAATATTATTTGTTGGCTCTACAACTTTTTGGAAATGGAAAATTCCACTTAATGATGCTCTAGAGGGGGAACTAGGAAGTGAGATTAATTTGATATAGTGTAGTGAATGGCCAATGTGATATAGTAGTACTGTTTATGTCTTAGGACACGCCTACATTTTGAAATCTTAGCCAGAAAGAATGTAAGCAGGGGCAGCAAGGTGGCACCGGCCCTGGATTCAAAAAGACCTGAGTTCAGATCTGGTCTCAGACCAGACATTTACTAGCTATGTGACCTGAGGCAAGTCACTTAACCCCAGTGGCCTAGCAAAAAAAAAAAAAGGTTTATGAGCTAAAAGGATGGGAAAAAACTAAGATGTTCTTTAGCCTCTGGTGGAGAATTTTAAATAAAAATTCATATCTGATGACTCATTAAAGTTGGGCATATTCTGTACAAAATTTCCCAGAATCAATGCCTACAAAACTATTAAGGTCTTTAAAACTTAAAGCTGTTAATATTGGCCATTTCCATCAGTAACACTTCTGTTCATTTCTTCTGCTTTGGTGTCACCATGTTGTGTGTGTTATCTGAGGTGGAAGAATGGAAGAAGTGACTAGGCCCTAGGGGTCTAGACCCCATTGGAGGTTTATGAGGCACTGCCTGCGGAAGCAAAGTATCACATACAACGCTGCATCGAGTCAGGCCTCTGGGTCCCCAGTGCAAAGGCAGCCAGAGGCAGGAGAAAGGAGAGGATGAAGCCCCAGCTTCCAACCTTGTGGTGAGGCCAGGAAGGGCAAGCTGGAAGAAGAGAAAGGGAACGTCTGATCTGGCCCTGCTGGAAACTTTATGCCAGACTTTCTTTTAAGGTGACAAAACCAACAAATATATGACTATATAAAATCTGTGAGCTTTTGCTTCTCCTGCTTGCTTTCTACACCAAATCCCCTGGGCTGGCATTCCTCCCAAAACCCATCCCTTCCAGCTCTGATCCAAATAACTGCTTCCAAACAGCTCTGTGTGTCACTACTACTGACCCTCCACCCCCAATCCATCAATCATCTTGCCCTGTGCCCAACAGGAGTGGGAGCTGGTACTGGGTCTTGCGGAAAGGGAATGTGGTTGGGAGTTAGAGCTGACCAGGGTTGTAGGCATGGCTCTGGGCACTGTTATTAACTCATTTGTGGGCTTTTGTGTCTTTCTGAAGTGAGGGTAACTGGCAAACATCTTCAAATAAAAGATTTTAAGGGAAAAAACAGACTGTGCTGATCCATATCAGTATCTGTTTGAGGCTTTACATTTTTAGAAGTCAAGTACTGGCTGCTTCATTTATTTATTTATTCCTTCCTTCCTTCCTTCTTTGCTTCCTTCCTTCCTTCCTTCCTTCATTTATTTATTTATTAATGAGGCAGTTGGGGTTAAATGACTTGCCCAGAGTCACACAGCTAGGAAATATTATGTGTCTGAGGTTGGATTTGAACTCAGATACTCTTGATTCCAGGGCCACCTAGCTGCCCCATACTGGCTGCTTTATTAACTATGTGAAGGGGTGTGTGTGTGTGTGTGTGTGTATGTGTGTGTGTGTGTGTGTGTGTGTGTGTGTGTGTGTGTGTGTGTGTGTGTGTGTGTGTCTGTGTAGGGAGGCAAGATGGGGGAGTGGAAGGATCAGATCTGTGACGTCAAAGGTATAGGAGACTCCTAGTGAGGAAACTGATTTGATCAATTCAGACCTCTCTCTGCTCTGAAAAGGAAAGTTTTGTCACGCTATCTGGAACACTGAGAACTTAAGTGACTTGCCCAGTCACAGAGCCAGTATGTGTCAGAGGCAGGACTTGAAGCCAGGTCTTCCTGACTCCAAGACTCAGAATTATGGAGTAAGAGGGGGAATGGTGGAAAGGCTCATCCCTTTCCTCCCCCTTCAGCTTCCTAGAAACCCTAGCTTTGCACCAGGTGTTGCTTAAGCATCACCTCTTTCCAAAGGGTTTTCCTGATTCCCTCAATACTTACATCTTCACTATTCTGAATTTAACATTCAATCCAACATTTATTAGGAACCTCTGGTGGGTACAGCACACATTTTCAACTTCTGTGAACTCAAAGGATATAACCTTTAGTTATATCCAATGAATTTAAAATACATTTCTTATGACTTTTGGCTTTAATTTCTGGATTTATCTGATCCCTTGAAGACTTTATCTCATGACAAAGCAGTTGCCTTATTTTGCCACTAGATGACACTAATGCACAAATTTAGGAAAACTTAAGTTAGAATACTACCAACTTTTTCAGTCATTTCAGCCCTGTCTTTTCATGACTCCATTTAGGGTTTTCTTGGCAAAAATACTGCTGATTTTATAGATAAGGAAAGTGAGGCAAACAAAGTTCAGCGACTTGCCCTGGGTCACACAGTTAGTGTCTGAGGCCAGGTTCTCCCTGACTCCATCAGTACTCTAGCCACTGTGCCACCTAGCTGCCTTTACCCACTTATATACTTGAACAGATATGGTATGTCAGCATTACAACCACAGAAAAACTCAAGGATAAAAGAGGTAAGCCTTAAATTTAAACTAGTAGATTTGTTCAGGAAATGCAGCTTTTCCCCAAAACAGCCAAAGATAGACCTTTAAAAACAAAACATACCAGCTGATAAAGTATATCTGGGAGATGCATTTTAAAAAAAAGTCTATGTTTTTGTATTTTTGTATTTTGTACTTGTATTTGTTGGAGTTTCTCATTATGGACAGCATCAAGTCCCCATTAAAAACTTCTTAGAATGCTCAGAATTTTCTTCCATTATACATTCAATTACATAGGTAAGCTCTAATTGATAGTTATAAAACTTCTAAGTCTGATGGTCATAATTCACAGTACACAAGATTCTTCACTTTATAAAACTCCTTTAAATAGTGAGCTTTCCTATTTCTTTTAAGGTATATACATTCTCCAGATTGCTGGAGGGTATTAGATACACATGAAGTAATTTACAGAGACAAAAATATTACATAAGTCTCCAATAACTTCTCATTCATTTATTTCCCTGACTTCAGAAGAAACATACTTTAGAAAGACAGTTAAGTGTGGAAAACTAGAAAGATAAGAACTACTTTCCCAATATTTCCATTTACCTGCATCTGTAGAAAGTGTTTCTTCATTAACTAGGGGCAAACCGGAGGTAAAGAAATCCATTATTGTTGCATAAATATCTGGTTTCAATAAGTTCCAATCTAAGTCTTCACTTTCCTACAAATATATGAAGAAAAATGTTAACAATATTTCTACCCAATTATATTCACATGTAATTATCAGTATTTTTTTTTTGGTGAAGCAATCAGGGATAAGTGACTTGCCCAAGGTCACACAGCTAGTAAGTACCAAGTGTCTGAGGCTGGATTATAAACTCAGGTCCTCCTGACTCCAAGGTCAGAACTCTATCCACTGTACCATGTAGCTGCCCCCCCACTAACTATTTTTTTAAAAAAACCTTTACAAAATCATTTTAAAAGATTTTAATCAGATTTCATTTGACAGTGTTCATTCCTGGAGGCTGATTTTCAGTTCTGTAGAGTTCTGTTCTGATCTGTAGTACAGCCTCAAGCCAACACCATCCAGTCCAAAATAGTATGAATGAGTTTGCCTGAAAAGGTAAAACTGAGGAAGAGTGGAAGCTGCCTCAGTTGCCCGAAGAGTCTTCCAGATTAGTAATGACTGAGTCTTTAAACATTCCAGAGTGTGAAAGATTGCAGAGGTGGCTGCTCAGTTGTTTTTTGTTTTAAGGAGACAGGGAGTGGTACATTGAGAAATGACTATGATGGCAAAACAAAAGGCATCTATAACTCCTATCATCCCAAAGCACAAGTCCTTCAGTTTGGAGCCAGAGCACTTCTCATAGAGTTAGAGTGTGGACCCAACTCTATCGAAGGTGCCCCAATTCAGAAGATTTAGGGGATTCCTCGGATAAGCCCCATGATAATACAAGATAATATCCAAGACAGCCCATGCTCACTCCCTTATTCCAAATACTTGATGAGTACCTATTGTAAGCAGTGAGATGCTAAGGGGGAATACAGAATAATATTCCTAAAGCATAAGTCTGACTACATCATCTCCTTCCTCAAAAAGTTTCAGGGGTTCCCAAGGAAAAAAATATAAACTCCGTTTGGCATTTAAATCCTTTCACATGTTACTTCACTTCACAAAATCTACTTTCCAGCTAAAACGACCTACTCGTTCTTCTCTTTATACATCATTCCACTTCTTACTGCCATACTTCTGTACAAGCTGTGTCTCCTGCCTAAAATGCATTCCTTTCTATCGCTTACCTTATAGAATCCCCACCTCCCTGCAAAGCTCAGTTCAAATGTCACTTCCTATGAGACCCCTCCTGATCCGCCAAAATACTAATGTTGTCTACCAAATCACTTCGTACTTACCTTGTATATATATTGGTATTAACTTACTGTTGTATGTGTTATTTCCCCTGTGATGTATAAGCTTCTTGAGGGCAGAAACTATTTCATTTCTGCTTCTGTACACCATGGCCTGCCCTAGGATACTGACTGGCACATAATAAGCGGTTAATAAATGCTTTATGACTGCTTGAAGACAAAGTCCTGCCTTCAGGGAGCTCACAATCTACAGAGGTTCCTCATTATCCAAGTATTCATTATCTGAGTAATGATGTTTGTTTTGGTCCTGACATGTGATTCCACTAATATAGGAAAATCCTATTATTGAAATCTCTCTCTTAATGCAGTTCAGCAACTGATCTGTAATATAATCTTAGAAAGTTGTTTGGGGCACCAAGAATGTAAGTCACTTAGCAGTTTGTGTAAAAGGCAGGACTTAAACTCAGGCCTTTCTAATACAAAGGCTGGCCAGCACCCAGGCTGACTCTTTTATCCTCTAAGCCCTTCATGATCCCTTCACAACTGCCAGGGCCCTCCCTCCCTAATTACCTTATACTTACTTTGTATTAGTTGTGTTTATATTTATTCTGTATATACTTACAGAAGGAATGCACACTACTTGAGAGTAGGGATTGTTTAATTTTTCTGTCTTTGTTTCCCCAGCTTGTAGCACAGTGCCTAGCCCACAGTAGACTCTTAATGCCTTATGGTTGTTATTTGATTAATTATGCCACGGTGCTTTCCTACAAGGTTGCAGGTTGCATAAGGAAGGAAGACCTCATAAGCTGACCCCTTATAAAATTAATCTCTACTTGAACATTAGCATCTATCCAATCAACGAACATCTTGATTTTGTGAGTCAGCCTTCAGAGTGTTGGTAGGCACTTCAAAAATGAAGAATATCAAAGAATTATGAGGGGCCACTGAGAAAACTAGTGAAATCCCTGAACATTTTTGCAAATTGACCCTTTTTATGATCCTGCTATAGAAGTCAAATGAGAAATGAAAGAAATTGTATTCATATAATTTGTCATAAAAATTGTGTCCACTCCAAATGAACATTTGATTCATTGATTGTTCTAAAAATTACTGCATAGTTAAAATTATTACCTAAGTTTTGTTAAAGATATATTTTAATAATTTTAGTTTCATTTTTCAAGATAAAGTCCCAATCACGTCTTTTCCCCTCACTATTTACTAAGAAATATGGGTCCCCATTTTAAGTGAATTTTCTTTAAGCAGATTTTTCCTATTTCAGTTACAGTTAGATAACAAAGACCTCTTGTAGGTATAGAGATGAGACATGCAATAAATAATAAAGATCTTGAAGGTCTGACAAAAAGTACTATACATATATTATTTTAATCTCACAACAATCCTGTGAGGTAAATCCTATAGATATTATTATGATTCTCAGGTTGTACAGAGGAGAAAAATAAAGACTCAGGGAAGGGTATGTGACTTGCCCATAGTCACTATGTCTATGTAACTGTCGGAGTCAGAAGTAGAATCCAGATTCCAAATTAGCGCTCCTTACTCTTTCCTACAGAAGTGTCAGAGACAACGGCTGCTACTGGACGTTAGAGAAGTGATTATATTCAACTGAAGTAATTAGGAAACAGCTTCAGTAAAGGAGGAAGGTTTGAGCTGCTAAGAGTCTGACAGGTAGAAATTTGGGAGGAAGGTATTCCTCCCAAGGTCAGAAAGAACTTAAATAAAAATACAGAAATTTAAAAATGTGGGAAGATGATGAATAGACTGGGCTGATGGATTGATACAGGTGTGTGTGGTTAGAAGTAAGTTTGGCAAGGTATGCTGGAGCTGAATTATTGAATCCCTCACATTCACTGTTTCTTGTAGTATAATAATATTCCACTATATTCATATGTAATAATTTTTCAGATTGCTCAACCAAAGAGAACTCATTTTGTTTCTATTTCTTTGCCTCCACCAAAAGTGCTGCTATGAATATTTCAGTACCAATAAAAGCAATCAAGTAATTAATTTTTGGGGAAAAAAACCCAAAATGCTGGGGACATTACAGATAAAAGCGGCAGCGGGGTGGAAGAAAGCACTAAGATGATTAGAACTTTTTAGTCTGAAAAGGATATGGTGACAGCGTTTACAATTATGGGGGCATGGAGTTTGTAAATACCAACTCTTTTGCCAAATATCAGAAACCAGAACTTGGGGATACTATTTGAAGTTTGAAAGAGGCAACTTAATAAAAAATAGAAAAATACTACTGAACAACACAAGTATTTTCAATTTTACAAATAGCCTATATATAGGGGATATCCATAATTGGTCAGGTCAATGTTAAGAGTAGCTGTATTCTTCAAAATGTCCTTTAAGTTCTACTATAATAAAATAATTGAGTAAATGAATCACAGATTTGATCTACCATGGTCATTTTTATGTCATGAGGTAGTTTCCATGGTTGCTTGTGAAAACTAAAAATGGAGGTTCTTTTTAAAAAATTAAATTAAAATGTTTTTTTATTACATTTTAAGTTTCAAGCTGTTTCTCTCCCTCCCCCTCCACACTAGAGAAAGCTACCATTTGACACAGATATACACACACACACATATATGTATATACACATGTATATATGTGTATATACGTAAATATATGTGTATATGTGCGTATAAAACCACACCATGCATACTTCTATTTATCAGTTTTCTCTAGAGATGGATATCAGCATCTTTCATAGGTCCTTTGTAGCGACTTGAATATCTTAATACTCAGACTGGCTTAGTCATCCAGTTATTCTTTGACCAATACTGCTGTTACTGCATACAACGTTCTTCTTGGTTCTGCTCATTTTACTCTTCGTTGTTTCATGCAAGTCTTTCCACATTTTTCTAAAATCAACCTGCTCATCATTTCTTATAGCACAGTAATATTCTACCACTATCACATACCACAACTTGTTTTGCTATTCCCCAACTGATGAGTATCCCTTTAATTTCCAGTTCTTTGCCATCACAAAGAGAGCTGCTACAAATATTTTAGAATATATAGGTTCTTTTCCTTTTTCCCTGATCACCTTGGGAAACAGACCTAATAGTGATATTGCTGGGCCAAAGGGTATACAGTTTTATAATTCTTTGGGCATAGTTCCAGATTGCTCTACAAAATGGTTCACATCAAGTGTATTAATATCCCAATTTTTCTACATCCCTTCCAACATTTGTAATTTTCCCCTTCTTTCATTTTAGTCAATCTGATAGGTGTGAGATGATATCTCAAAGTTGTTTCAATTTGCATTTCTCTAATCAATAATGATTTAGAGCATTTTTTCACATGACTATATATAGCTTTGATTTCTTCATCTAACAGCTGCCTGCTCATATCCTCTGACCATTTATAAATTGGAGAATGACTCATATTCTCACAAATTTGACAAAGTTCTTTATATATTTGAGATGAGACCTTTATCAAAGAAACTATCCATAAAATTTTTTTCCCAATCTTCTGCTTTCCTTATAATCTTGGCTGCATTGGTTTTATCTGTATAATGTCTTTTTAATTTAATCAAAATTATCCATTTTATATCTCACAATGTTCTCTATCTCTTATTTATTCATAAATTCTTTTCCTATCCATAAGTCTGACAGGTAACGGTTTCCATGTTGTTCTAATTTACTTATGATATCTCCCTTTACATACAGGCCATGTTTCCATTTTGGCCTTACCTTGGTACATGGTGTAAGATATTGGTCTGTACCTAGTTTCTGCCAGACTACTATCCAGTTTTCCCAACAATTTTTGCCAAAGAGTGAGTTCTTATCCCAAAATCTTAGATCTTTACATTTGTCAAACACAAGTTACTGTAATCATTCTCTACTGTGTATTATATGTCTACTCCACTCTATTGAGCTACCTTTCTCTTTCTTAGCCAGCACCAGATAGTTTTGATAATTGCCACCTTATAATACAGTTTAAGATGCGGTACTACTAAACCTTTTTACCTTTACATTTTTCTCATTAATTGCCTTGATATTCTTGATCTTTTGTTCTTCCAAATGAATTCTGTTATTATTTTGCTTGGTCAATAAAATAATTTTTGATAATTTAATGGGATGGCATTGAATAAGTATATCAGTTTAGGTAAAATTGTCATTTTTATTATGTTGCCTTGGACTACCAATGAATAATTAATATTTCTTCAATTATTTAAATCTGACTTTATTTGTATAAAAGTGTTATAATTATGTGCATGTAGTTCCTAGGTTTGTCTTGGGCAGATATACTCCCATGTATTTCATGTTGTCTATGGTTATTTTAAATGAGGTATCTCTTACTACCTCTTCTTGCAGGATTGTTGATGACATATAGAAATGCTGATGATTTACATAAGTTTATTTTATATCCTGCTACTTTGATAAAATTATTAATTGTTTTAATGTTTTAGTTGAATCTCTAGGATTTTCCAAGTATATCATCATATGTCTACAAAAAGAGACAGTTTTATTACCTTATTGGCCATTCCGATTCCTTCAATTTCTTTTTCTTCTCTTATTGCTATTGCTAGCATTTCTAATACAATATTGAGCAATACTGGTGATAATGGGCTTCCTTGTTTCAGTCTGAAGCTGACTGGCTTTTCCCCATTATAAATTAATGCTTGCTGATAGTTTTAGATAAATGCTTTTTATCATCTTCAGGAAAAATCCATTTATACCTATGCTTTCAAGTGTCTTTAACAGGAATGTGTGTTGCATTTTATCTAGGAATGTTGCATTTACATGCATTAGGGAAACTGGTCTATAATTTTCTTCCTCTGTTTTTGCTCTTCTTGGTTTAGGTATTAGAACCGCATTTGTTTCATAAGGGCAGTTTGGTGGAACTCCTTCTTTGCCTATTATTCTAATTAATTTATTTAATATTAGAATTGCTTGATCTTTAAAATATTTGGCAGAATTCACTTGTAAATCCATCTGGTCCTGAATGCTTTTTCCTTAGGAAGCTCACTTATGGCCTATTCAATTTCTTTTTCTAAAATACGTTTATTTAGTTATTTTATTTCCTCTTCTGTTAATCTAGGCAGTTTATATCTTTGTAAGTATTCTTCTGTTTCACTTGAATTGTTAAATTTATTGACATATAAAAAGGAACATACTAACGAAACAGTTTAATCTTACTGAAGATGTTTAATCATAGACCAGGCAGCACTATTACTAAGACAGAGTGGAGAATTAGATGGGCAGATAATTGCACTTGGAAATGTCTGAAAACATTTCTAGGCCTATTTTCTGATTTTTACCCTTACCTTTGTGACGGTGATGAAATCTGGTCCAAAGAAGACACTTTTCACTCCTTCAATCCTGAATAACTGTCTAAAATTAAAGGGGGAAAAACAGAATTTTTCTCATTAGTAAGACTCAAAAAGGCACACTGGCTAGAGAGCTACCTTGGAAGTCAGAAAGACTTGAGTCCAAGTGCCACCTCACACATATCCTGGCTGTGTGATGTCTCTCAGTGCTCCCAGGCCTGCAAGTTGCAGAGCTACTGTCTATCTGTAGTGATATGATAGAGCCCCTCACTGGATGCTCTCTACTGGATAAAATGTTAGATCCATACAAACAAAAATAAAGACTAAAGAATCTTGTGAACTACGAATTAAATTAGAAATATAACTTCTAGGGCAGCTAGGTGGCGCACTGGACAGAGCTCCAGACTTGGAGTCAGGAGGACCTGAGTTCAAATCCGGCTACAGACAGTTGACATTTACTAGCTGTGTGACCCTGGGCAAGTAACTTAACCCTGACTGCTCACCAAAAAGCCAAAATAAAAAAAAAGTATGACTTCCCCTCCTCACATCAAAAGACAAGATGGGGGCAACTAGGTGGTGCAGTAGATAGAGCACTGTCCCTGGAGTCAGGAGGACCTGAGTTCAAATCCAGCCTCAGATACTTACTGTGTGACTGTGGGCAAGTTACTTAACCCCACTGCCTCTCCCTCTACTCCCCTGCAAAAACAAACAAACAAACAAAAAAGACAAGATGATAGCTGATAGTTTTAAAGTGCCTTCATTTGTCTAAAGTCATATCATCTGAAAGTAATAGTCAGGACTAAAATTCCAACCCCTCCCTACAGTGTACACCTACTCAAAATTTTCCTATTTGGGTAAAGGCACCACCATTCTTCCACTCTTCCAAGTCTGTAATCTTGGAATCATTTCTGACTCTTCACTTACTCTCATTTCATTTCAGATCTTATCAATTATTCTGTCTTCACAACATCTCTCACATCTATCTCCATCTCAGCACTCACAAGCCACCACTTTAGCTCACACCATCATCATCATCTTTGTTTTTTCTTTTTTAATTTAACTCACACCAAATAAAAGGAACATTTCCATATACAAAGCAGAAAAAAAAGACTATATATGAAGCCACAAATCTGTATTATGAACAGCTTCCTTTTCTCTTCAGACATATAAATTCAACATGTTATCTTTAATAACTGTCTAACTTGTCTGTGTTTACTGACTTTTGTTCTATTCTCTTTCATGCATTTTAAGTGCTTCAATTACCCTCTTTTGTTACCACCCATTTTAGACCCCCTCTGACCTGTCAACTCTTCCTTCTAATGTTGGAAGAAAAATAAAACCCTTGTACCAGATATGCACAGTCCTGCAAAACATATTTCTATATCGTACATGCCCAAAAATGTACATCTCAATCAGTACCTTGAAATCATTATGTTTCTATCAGGAAGTAGGTAGTGGGTTTCATTATCTACCTAGTCCTTGGGAATCACTGTTGCTCACTGCATTAATCACTGTTCTGAAGTCTTTTAAAATTATTTTTATTTAGCCCACTGTTGTTAATGTATAAACTGTTCTCCAGGTTCTGCTCACTATACTCTGAATCACTTCATATAAGTCTTTCCAGCTTTGTCTGAAATTGTTCCTTTCATAATTTCTCATGATACAATAATATATTTAATTTGTATACCACAATTTATCCAGAAATATCCTAATTGATATGTACTCCTTAGTTTCCAGCTATTTGCACTACAAAAACAGCTACTATAAATATTTTTGTATATATGGGTCCTTTTCTTCTTTATTTTTTCTCTTTGGGTGTATAGGCCTAGTATTGGTATAACTGACTGAAGGGACATGGAATGGTGAAAAGTGTGGAAAGATTTTCCTTTAAAGAATAGCTGAAACAATTAGATATTTATTCTAGATAAGTTAGAAGTTAAAAAGTTAGAAGAGATATGATTTGTATCTTCAAATATTTGAAGGACTATTACACAAAAAAGGGATTAGGTTTATTCTGAGTAATTCCACAGGGCAGAATTATGATGAATGAGTAAAATTTATAGGGAGGAAATACAAGGAAAATCTTTCTAAAATTTAGAGTTGGCTAACAAAAAAAAAAAAAAAGGAAATGCTTTGTGAGGCAGTGAATTTCCCACCACAGGAAGTGCTGAAGCAAAGATGACCTGTCAGGGGTGCTTCTGAGGAGCTTTTTACATGGGGTAGGAGGTTGTGTATGTGATTTCTGAATTTCCTTAAAAATCTAAAAGAAAGATTTTCTGTGACTCATACCCACTTAAAATAGAGAGCTGTATGATTAACTGCATGACTGTCACTGGGAAGAGAGTTAAAATAATTAAAACAAATCAGCCCCAGAAGGTTTATATTCAAAGAATCCCAGAATCTTAGCAATGGAAGGATTCTTACAGCCCCCACAGTTACTTTGTACATGCTTTGTATTTACTTATATTTTTGTATGCTGTTTTTCCCAAAGGAAAACTCTTGAAGGGTAAGGACTGTCTGTTTATCTTTGTGATCCTAGTAGACAGTACAGTATTTGACACATAGTACCTGCCTAATAAATTCTTGGGTTTTTTTTTTTTGGCTAGGCAATGAGGTTAAGTGACTTGCCCAGGATCACACAGCTAGTCAAGTGTCTGAGGCTGCATTTGAACTCAGGTCCTCCTGACTCCAGGGCCAGTGCTCTATTGCGCCACCTAGCTGCCCCCTAATATATTCTTCAATTAAGCTAAATGGCTTTAAGGAATCACTCACTGAGACATGGCCAGTGGATTGTACATGTGAGTTACATCTTAGACTTAGTCTTCAAAAGAGAGCAAGCAGAGATTTGAGAATGAAAAAGGTGAGAGCTGAGAGACGCAAAGAAGAGACAGAGATGCATGCTCTAATTTGCTGAAGAAAAGGCTCTCACAAAAGACAAAAAATGATGCTTATGGTTCCTGTGAAAGTAGTGCCCTATTATGTAAACTTAAGGACAGAGACTACTAAGGAAGTGCTAATGGCAAAGTGCTATTTTTTTTTCTAAGACGAGAAGTCATCTCCCCTAATTGCTAGCCCTTGATTCCACCCTGGCGCATCATTCCTCCTCTCTATTCTCCTGGTCCCCTCCCCCTTTCATGTATACTCCCACTGTATAGCATAGTCCCACCAAAAATAACAACAAAACAAAAAAACCCATTGTTTCACCTGTAGATGGGATGTCACCAAGTTCTGTCCATAATGCCCCGGACTGCCTCTTTTCAGTTGCCTCTACCAGATTAACACCTTCACTGCCGTCTCCTTGTGTACATTTATAAGAAGTCTCTTACTGATACCTCTGTTGTCACTGCTGTAGCTGCTGTCCTTGGCTGCTTCATTTATTGACTTCTCATGCATTTATGTTGTTTGAGGTACTGGAGAAGCAAATAACTTCAATTCTGGGTTTTTTTCCTAAAAAATGTTTCAAACTCTTCTTTATGATTGAACAACTATCTTTCGAACTGTATGATTAAGCTTATATTTCTATGACAGTTCACCCTGGGCTGCATATTGAGCTCCAATGCTCTTTGGAACACATAATTCCATTCCCTCCTCTTTTTTCTAGTGGATATGGAATATTCTTGCATTATTCAAAAGTCCTTTCCTCTGTCTTTAATGGTTTTTCTCTTGGTGGCTTGTAGAACTTGTTTCTGAATTAAAATATTAAATTTACCACTATGTGTCTTGAAATATGCTCCCGTGGTTTTTTTCTGGATGTAATCTGTGAATTCTTTCAATTGAAATTTCATTTCCTATGTTCAGAAGTTTTGAGCAATTCTCTTCTATTATTTCCTTCATTAAGGTGTCGAGATTTTTTTGTCCTGTCCTCTTCAGAGACCTGTGATCCTTAGGGTTGTCTACACATCCTGCCTTTGAGATCCATATGTTTTGCTTGCATACCAGGCATATTTTTTTAAATTTTTTTTTCTTCTCTTCTTCTAGGTTGACCTTCACTTCTGTGCATTTGCATTCCCTATCTATTGTTCTCTCTTTTGTTTCTTTAGTGAGGCTTGTCATTGCAGATTCAAGTTGTTTTATTCTGTTCATTCATTTTGCAGTACAACACAGAAATTCTGCTTTCATATTTTTCTTCTAAACCACTCAGAAACAGCATAATGTGGTTCCATGTTCTTCTCAATTCTCAGGTCCTCTGTCTCATCAAGTGTTAGAACATTTTCCTTCATTCTGCAGTATTTATTCATAGATGCCTGAACCCATTTGCTAGATCTGGAGGCCATTATTTCTTTCTGTGATTATTGTTTTTCCTGTTGAGTTATCTGTTTATATTCAAGATCTCTGAGATTTCCTCCTCCTAAAATCTTTTTGGTACCCTCAGTCTCTCCTCTCCTACCCTCTTCCCCTTATTTTCCTTTCCTTTCCTCACTTCCTAATGCCCTCCCCTCTGATTGTGGTTTCCTTTGGGGCTGGATCTCAGAGTGTTTCAGCCTCCTCCCACACTGGACAATTCACCACCAGCCTAGGTCTCTGCCCCAGCTGTCTTTTAGGTGGTCAGAATGGGCCCCACTCGGGTGCTATGCTGCTTCCCTCAGGCTTGGTGGAGTGCTGCACAGTAGGTTTCCTGTGCTGGTGACTTGTCCCAATCTCTCAGTTCCTTAGTTCTCTGCCATGGCACCGGCAGCTCAGAGCCCACTTTCCCTGGCACCAGCAAATTCTGCTTTCCCAATCATCGGCAGCTCAGAGCCTATTTCCTATGGCACTGGCAGTTCAGAGCTTGGCAGCCCTGGTGCTTCTGGATTACAGCTCCTGGCAGTCTTTTGTTCCTAATGGCATATGACCAAACTGGCTACTGAGGCCCAAAGAAACTTCCCCAGCCTAAAGCCCTGAAAAGAGAGAGGCAGAAGCAGGGCACAGACCTGGGTTTGGATATGAGCCTGTGTCACGTCCGTGGGTCTTTTAGTGAAGTCTTGCTGCCGGGAGCATGGCATGTGGAGATGGTCAGTAAGTGTCAATCCTTGGGTCTTGTTTTTGTTTTTGAATCATCTTTTTTTAACCTCTTTTTAAAAAACT